AGAGGATCTCCTCATTAAGCTGCCAATCTCGGTTATTCTCAAGAGGGATTAAGGGACAATAATAGTGATTAAAGCATACCATAATGGATTGGTATGAACAGCACAAAATAAGGGGATTATGATCGGTCAAAGGAGGAGTTTAATGGCTAATTAAAACTTCCATAAAAAGTGTAGCATTTGAATTTTAAATCAATGATCAAAGGAGCCGGGTCGCGGGTTTTGGGTTCGGCGGTTTGGGCGCGGGCTGATGAGGGCCGAGGCGTGGGTTGAAGGCCACGACCTAGGGCTCGATTTCCCAATTTACGAGGCTCAGTTATTTAATCTGATAATTAAAACAATGCTCGAGTAATAAAATACAACATCCGGGAAGATTAAAATAATTTATCCGGCAATATATATACTATCACCTAAAATCCACACAATAATATCATTTAGGCATTTAATTCAAATAATTAATATTTATGCCAATAAAGCAATATTCGAAAATTTCACTAATCGAACGGTTTAGATTCGAACTACGCGATTTGACCGAAATCGCCGAACGACGAACGTTTAAAAATAAAACGATAAGTACTTTAACATAAAATTTAAGTCGACATCGCGACCAATATAATAAATATAACTTTAAAAATAAAATTCGATAAATAGAATAATCTAAGAAATTTTATAAATCGAAATGGACGCTAGACCCAAGTTTAGTTCCCGTAAATAGTTTAATTACGCACAATAATAAACACATTACAATTTTCGGCAGTCCTTTAATTTTGGCCCGCATTTTTTATTTGAAGTTTGGGTTGACATATGAGTACGTGCAAAATATTTATGACCTAATTATTCTTTGATAATATTAGCAACCATTTTTTTTATCTTTTCTTGTTTTATTTGAAACTAAATAGTATGTTATTATATATGTTCACAAATTATGTTTTTTAAATTATGAGTTTATATCATTACATGTATTTAAGCATACACCATTCTTAATTTTTTTGAACTTTTGAAAACTCAAATCTGACATTATTAAATAGATAGTTGTTATATATTATCTTTCTAAAAATAATTAATAGTGCACAATTTAACATCTTTACAAGATTTCAATTTTTTTGAAACATTGATCATTTCATGGGGTTGTGAAACAGTACTGTTGATCAAAATTCGATCTACCATCTATATTTTCTTAGATTTTTGTACAAATTTGAGTAATATGTCTTGTTGTCCTACTTTTGAGGTGAATAGGTACACAATTGGTTATTACTAAGCTCAGCAGTTATGTCCTCGAATGTAAAATTATAACCGGTGCCAGAATTGCTGATAATGTTCTTATTAGGCTCAAAATTATACCACCCGATTTGAGGGTATCTTTCAAGTTTCAGTGCAGGCAGTTCCTGCTCATGGTTTCCTATGCTATGACAATCAATAAGAGTCAAGGACAGTCTTTGTCGCACGTCGCCCTACTACTTAAGAGCCTTGTATTTAGTCATGGGAAATTGTACATGGCGCTTTTCAGAGTCACGAATCGGATGGGTTTGAGGATAATGATTTGTAGTGATGGAAATTGTGACGATAGAAAAACCACGAATATTGTATATAAAGAAGTATTTAATAATATTTAGATTTCTTTCTTAAACCTTTTCTTTTCCATGATTATGATATGACTTTTACAAACTTTTATTTTTTCCTCTATTATATAGCTTTCCGTACAAATGCACGGGTCAAAAACTAGTACTTGGTAAACGTGAATTAATTGTATATAAAATATTTTCATTATGATTGAATTTATTAGATAAAGTGCATTGATGACTAGGAGTGATTGGATATAAGATGTTTTGATTTTGATTTAATTTATTCAGTAATTGGATATAAGATATTTTGATTTGGATTGAATTTATTGAATAATGTGAATTATTTTAAATAAAGTTGATTGATCAAAAATCGTGTGGGATTTTTAAATTTTTTATTTAAATAATATTTAAAAGATAATAATTAAAGTTGATGTGATTTGAATGTAGGATAGAATTGATTTAAAGTGATAACTAGTTAAAAATATATGTAAAAATAAACGTTGAATTACAATTGTTGTCATATCGATGATTATTTTATTATTAAATTATCTTGATAATATTAAAAAAATTTAAATTTGATAATATTGAGTTAAATTTTTAAATTAACCATATAAAAAATTATCCAAGATATTTTTGTAGTCAATCGCCCAAGTAATTAATTCAAATATCTATACTTATATTAAAGGGAGTCCTATTTACCAAATTAAGTAGCCAGAAATGTCAACAGCATTTATTGCATTACTATTTCCGTATTATACAATCTATACTTATATAAAAGGAGATTCTATTTACTGCATTTATTATCCAGAAAAATCAACTACATTAAATGCCATTAGTATTTTGGTATTATAATATTTTATTTATTTAACTAGTACAGAGCCCGTGTGATGCACGGGTGCACAATTTTAAGACTATTTATCCAGGCTTATAATTATATACATGAATAAAGAAAAATGTACGGATATATATAGTACGTGACCGTGCGAAGCACGGGATATATTTATTTGGAGAATATCATATTATAAGATGCAATATTCAATAAAAGTTTATAATACGCAAGAAAATTGTACAATGTTCAATAAAAGTGTTATAATATTCAAGTGGATTCTTAAAGTCTCTTGTACATTAAGACTACTGACAAAATAATATTTTAATCAATGAGTTTCCTTTCCTTGTAGCCAAATTGTGAATGTGATTTGAGGAGTACAACAAATCGATATATAGCTGACTTGTTTTTTTCATTGTAGTTTTTTTTTTCTTTTTTTTTATAATGAATTTAAAGATATTCTAAAATATAGCAAAAATTAATTTTTTATTACAATTAGGAATTTTACTAAATATAGACTCTCAATCTATGGTGTTAATCAATGTTTAAGTCTAAAAAATTATGAATTTTTACCTCTTTTAATCAACGTTTAAGTCTAAAAAATAATAGAGTTATTA